TCAAATACTGCTGAAGAAAGAGGAAAAAAAGTACAATAAGTACCTCTAAGTAGTGACTGTCCTAGACTACTTCCTGAAATCACATGTGGATATCTTACAAGAAGGCATAATGGTAACAGCAAACTGTTTACAGCTGTTTTCAAGTCTTATGGCAAGGCAGAGAGGACTTGATTTTCAGCAAAGGCATACAGAAGTACAAAGAGTAGTGCTCAGGCACTACTACAGCAGCAGTGCTCAGGCCCACATCCCAAGCTCTTTGAGTGACAAAATAGGTGTCCTTTACAGCCACACCTAGCAATAGGATCCAGAAGAACCTCAGTTGCTCTCTTCTCACATTGGAACAAGCTGCCCAGGGTACTGGTGGAGTCACCATCCCTGATGGTTCAAGAGAAGTATAGATGAGGCTCTGTGGGACATGGTCTAGTCGGCACAAGGGATGGGTGACAGCAGGCACAAGGGTTGGACTTGATGATCTTCCAGGTTTTTCCCAAACATAAAATTCTATGTTTCTTGATAAACAAAAGCAAAGGCCAGGGGATGAATGTCTAGGTCATGTGGAGCTCCACTACAGTCCCAGTGCCCACAGCATCTCTTCCAATGGCCTTATGGAGATGCAGCAATCAAATGTCCTGAACATATCACCTGCCCAGCTTGCTCATCCTACATAAAAGGTTTACCCTTTCAAAGAGAAAGCTTATTTCCAGCTGGAGTCAGGAATAGATTCTGCCCAATGGTACAGTTGCATGTGATTACATTTTGAAGTTTTATAACTTCCTCCAAGCCATTCAGTTTTAGCCACCATCAGAAACAGTGCAGCACATGAGACAGATTGGTGATCATATGGCAATCTGATCTTTATCTGATCTGCAGTGACACAGAAGACATAAGCCTTCCCACCTTTGCAAAACCCATGATCTGAACAGCTCCTCCCTTTACAAAAAGTTTTGCCATGACACTAGTTAAGTGACAGCCAAACAGCTAAAAATACTATTAAACACTGGAAGAGTTAGAGGAATCATACAATCATACAACAGATATGGAGAGTCTAGAAATGAATTTTCTCTAAGAGAATAAGTGTTGTTTGCTCTTCCTGCAAAACCATGATTGCCACTTACAAAGTTCTAATAAAACATGGTTTAATGAAGGAAAAGGTCAATACATTTTAGATAAATATTTAAAACCAGTATTTAAAAACATTTATATCCAGCTAGATATTGGTAAAACCTAGATTGATGGTGATAGTTGCTGTTGACTCTCATACTGGTCACTTGTTCTTCTCTTTGGGCAGAAGTCAGCACTCTCACTTAAAGTTTCTGGAAGATACTAGTTGAAGTCTGATCTGGATCTGGACGTAAGTCGTCTTTATGCTCAGTAGGAGAGGCAATTCACTTCTTTTGAAGACTTGCACATAGGACAGATCAAATTCTTACTTCATCCTTTTAACTAAAAGAAGCCTAAGCTGACCAGCTCAGACTTTGAAATATGACTTTCAGATCTCTTGTCTCTATTTTCCCCACAAATTCCATGATGTGGCTCATGCCAACTTAAAGAGAGCCTCATTATACAGCTGTTAAATTGTTGGCACTGATTTTCAGTTGCAGGCAAAATTTGGGGGGAACAGCACTACTGTCTGCTGCTAGATGAAGGTTTCTTCCATAAATATGGCATGGCTAAGGCAAAAGATCCAGCTTGTACTGATCCAGCAGCAACATGCCTCTGATAATGGGCAGTGGTGGACACATTCCTCAGTGTGTTGTTCAAGCTTCAAGCTAATTAGAAGCCCAGGAACATTTTTTGACCAAAAGGTCTCTGAGCACTCTTAAATCTTGAGATATCCTATTTAGCTCCTGACCACTGACAAAAAAATCACTATATTTTTATCTGAAGCAGGGCTTCAGATACCATATAAATACACAGATGTTTTGCACTACTGTTATAGGATGATTACTGCCTCTTCTGAACTTCTTAGTCATCTATCTTCAGAGTCTAAATTCACATCTGTTCAGGAAGTAGAAGATGACTTAAAAGGACACGGTAGGTTAACTGTGGTCTATCAATTACCTGGCAAAGAATTTATAATGAATTTTTGTTTCCAACCAGCATAAAAAACCCTTCTATAATCTCTCACTCATTTTCCTCCACAGCAGTTACTGCTATATCAGGTGACTTTAGTGCACAAAGTCGGTATATAAAAATATACCGATAATACTGAGGCAAGAGTTTCCAGCCAAGTCTGGCACACTAAAACAATAATTTCTTTAATTTTCTGCTGCAGTTTGCAGAAGGTGGAAAAAGATACAGTCACCTCTATTATAGACTCAATAAATATCTGAAGACTGCAACAGGAGAATGGCTGCTTAGCCTAGTTCATCTCTGCTTAGAGTCAGATTTTCCTTGCTGTCAGGAGTTTCCAAGGTTATTTTGACAACAAAAGTTGCTTGGATTCAGACCAAGTTGTCTACATCTGTGATTGCAAAGCAGTATCTTGGGAAGACAGATGTTTAGCTTTTTTGGCTTGATTTTCAGCTAGTGTTGTTCAGGAAGTTCTGGAGGCACTGCAGAAGCTAAAACCAGTAGAGCTGGGCACCTGCACTTCTTGTCTCATGAGTTAGCAGAAATGCTCAGGATTCTTTTGAAGCGGATACCATGGGGAGGTCATAACTTTCCTCAAGGAAAAAAACTGCAAGGCACCTGTTCAACAACAAATATTTCAAGGTAAATCTTGCCAAGAGAAGATCTGTTTGAATCTTTCTTTTCTTTAGGATGAACTACTCATTGTTTTTTGGCAAAACAAATCCGGTGATATTCAGACACCAGAGATTGTGGGTCAACCCAACTTTTTTTTTTTTTTCTTAAATATGTTTTTGTCTGTATGTATTTGTATAATATATGTGTGCATGTGAGTATGTATATGTACATATATCTTCTGTTAGTTTCCCTCAAGCCTATATCTTTAGTGTTGCTTTATCTCTTTTTAGGATGCCATATTGGACTCATTTAGTGAGTCTATGCTGCCCAAAGGAAACCATGATGTTCTGTCCTACTCCCTCATTTACCACTGGGAAGGATACTTAAGAGACTGTAAGACTCCCCGATATATGATTGAACTCCGCCTCTACTGTCTATACTACGTTATATAGGAAAAAAGATCAGAAACAGGGAGAACGGAGAGAACTTTGTGTTCTCTCTGCCCAAGAACCTATACAGATGCAGGGCATATGCTATTAATTTTGCTACAAGGCAATGACTAATTAGAAGTGGTTTTAAAACTACAATATTTATTTTTGTTGGATTTTAATTGAGTCACTTATATTTAATTCTGCATGCCTCCGAAAATTTATCTTTATTTTCAGAGAAAGAGTAATGTGCATGGGGTTGGTCTAGATAGCAATCAAAATATTGCTGTATTAAATTTGTACATATATGCCAAGCTCTGCTCAAATGTCCCTCAAGAGAGCCAAAGCTTTAAAACCTTTAATAAGTTTTAATTAAGTATGAGAACTACCCAGACTGCAGAGAAAGCTTTTCTAAATATAGACATCTTGAACATCATGCAAAGACCGAACAGTCAGTTGCCCCAAGCAATGGCTAGCCATATGGAAGAAATTGTGCAGATTACTTGCATATTCTGGCTTAGTCCAGGAAACCTCTAGGCCTTACTACATAAAGACAAACTTCCAGATAAAATATTAAGTCCTAAAATATTCAATTGAAAACAGATTCTGGGAGCAGATGGATCTAAAACCCTGTATTCTTACTGAATAGAGGAGCTGGACTGAAAGCTAGGGAAGAATGAATACTGTGCTTTTACTTCATGAGGCCTCTTCCGTTTCCTGATTTGGGTTATTTTAACAATTTCCTGATCACTCGGTGAATTATTTAACAGAAAAGTGTATTTGCCCAGAATATCATTTAGTCAAACTAACAACTGCCCAATATAACACTGACAACTACAAATGGCCAAAGCAGTGCTCAAAGAGACAGCAGGGTGCATCTCTGCACCACGTTCCAAGGATGCACTGCTTGGCATTGCCCTTCTCTGGTTTTCCAAGCTCGTTTCACAGTTAAAATAGGAGGCTACAGTGTTGACAGCTAGACGGCCTAAATCTAATCTGGATACTTCTGAAATGGTGGCAAGAATCAGTTTCTTGTGACCTGGCACACATTGGAAGTAATGTGCTTGGCCATCACATGGGAAAAGAATGCCAAGCACTGTCACTAAACACTAAATGAAAGCAAATACAACTCTAGGGGGTAAGAGAAACTGTTCTCTTGACTATTTTTATTTCTTTATACACACACACATATATACTACTTATATTACTTTTTACTTCATATATTAACTATTAACCATTAAAAGCAGAAATCTTCAAGTCTTGAAAAATATTAATGGATCATATGTATTTGGAACACTTGGATCATCCTTCTCTTCCCCCAAGCAAGCAAACACATAATTTTAAGTAATTTTAACTCTAAAAAGGCTCATGCCTAAAAAGGGCATGAAAGAATAAGTAGTATATAACAGAGATGAATATTATCATTGCAACTGAGGAGCACTTGAAAATAAAACTCACAAAAGCAATTTGAATATCAGAAATTAGGACAGCAACATGTAGGGACTATGAGAAAATATTATCCAGTGAAAGACAGAAAGATTTTAAGAACTGGGCCTTAAATACAAAATATTTCTATAACAGGTTGTCTCATTATGAGATCATTTCTGAAGTAGATGGTGACAGCAACTGAGCAGGAAATGAAAAACATACAGTTTTCTAAAGGTCTTGTTTTAGTTGTTAAAGCACAGCAAGATGGACAGACGCACATTTCTAGCAGGTAGGTGAATATCATTATGATTGAAATAGAACTGGCAGAGCAATGGGAAAAGGCTAACAGGGTAAGTAATGAAATACATCAGAGAGAAATCAGTTCCCCTGGTTGGACTTCTGGGTGGCTCCTGCTCTTGAGGAATAATACATTGGAAAGTATCAAATGCTGCTTACCTTTCAATTTTTCAGCCAGCAAAGCAGCTTCGTGTTCAGAATAATGCATTATTGCTGGGGGAGAAGGAGGGCGCAGCCTGTCTTCTTCCATTTTGCGTCTGTGGCGTTCTTCCCTGGCCAGCATTCTTTGTTTGCATTCCCATTCATAAAAGTCATCTCTTGCCTGAGCAAAATCAACATGAAGGCGACCTGAATCCTTTTTGTCTGTGCTAGATCCTAATCTCATGCGGTAACCTGAAACCAACAAGCAGAGCTAACTGTTGCAGGACTTCTTTGCTATTTTTCCCTATTTTTTTTTTCTTAAATGCAGTTAAGTAGAAAATACATTCACATATTCCCACCTATCTATGTAGAATGTATCAATCATTTCACTTTCACAGGAAGATAAACATTCATCAGTTCTTTTTTTTCCTTATGATTTTCTAAATTATGTATCAATAGAGTACATAGTTGAAAGAAGTAGTCCCAGAAGTACAGAAGCTTCATTAAAGTTAAAAAGTTTCCTGAAATATGTCATTATTTCACCTGATACTCCCAACCTTTATAAATACAAAGGCTATTTAAACAGACAAATAAACAACACCACCCACCTACTAAAAACTGATTTGCTTTGGATGTGAAGTCCCTCTTCCCCGATCCTGTTTAGATCAGGTATGGTTTAGTTCTATTAACCAACCTTTCAAGGAAATTAAAATGAGAAAAAAAATGAAATTTATGAAAATCCAGACCACAGATGAAGGATAATATTGAACTAGATAAGCTAGTAGGCCACAGAGAAAGCAGTGCCATACCTGTGTTAATGTCAGAGCTCAAATTTTGAGGATTTCGAGTTGCAAACCAATCACAAAAATCTCCAGCAAATATCAATCATCTACAAATTAATTTGGTATTCAACCAGTCAAAAAAAAAAAAAAAAAAAAACAACTTTAACACTTTAGCATTCTTTAAAGTAATTTTAAGAGTGTGGAACAGTTTATTATATGACTTCCTTCTGATCAGAGTGTGAAATCTATTATGTCTCACCTTCAGCAGTGTTCTACATATTCATAATTTGGTCAATGCATCCTCTGCTAAAGCAAGCAGCTGCAATGACATGGTTTAATTCAGGGGCCGTACAATAGCATAAAAGGGCTCTGCTCTGAACTAAAACTCTTGACTGCTATCAGAAGGCAGATCAAATCATGCCAAAGCAATAAAAGCCTTTTGCAACTACACTGTGGAAGAACATACTTTGGGCACCAATCCTTTTTCATGTTTTATTTTCAAGGCTGAGAGATACTCGCAGAGAAATTTCTCTAGCTTTTAACTTACTGATTCATGGGAAATGTGAGAAGATTCTAAGGAGAGAGCCATAAACAGAGCCTATGACTGTAGGTAAAATCAATCAGTCTGTGCAGGGCTAGCCCAAATTTTTCTCTGCCAACCCACTGCAGCTTCAGAAGCAAAATAGCCCAAAAGAGATGTTTCAAATCACAGGATGTTGGGGACTCGGCAGTCCCTGCTGAGCTAGCATATAGTAGGCTTCTCAGAAATACACATGACTACAACTATTGTATAATAACTCCAGGGACAGGAAACTTTTGCTTGAAATGACAGGAAAAATGTTATTTGCTGTTTCAAATAGTCACTCAAAAGAAGCTACTTTCAGTCTTGAGTTTAAAGAATTGTCTCTGGTTAGAGAATTTCAACGCCTCAATTTTAAGCTCCATTTCTAACTTTCTCTGGAGACAGCCAAGTTAAGGTTTGTGTAGGATGTGACAGCAGGTTTGGGACACCTTTGCAAAAATGCACACCTAGGTTTCTTTTGCTTTAGTGCTGTAAGAGCATCTCACAGTATGAAGGCAAGGGACTAACTGTACTATAGCACATGTGATAATGGCTTCATTGATCATTAAATATCCATATGTAATGAGCCTTAACAAAAAAATTCTGAGTGCCTTTTGCTTTGACATTTTCCTTTCAAGCATCTTGTGGAGTTTAATTAAATAGCCTGTCAATGAAGAAGAGGGATGTCTTTCAATTTCCAGTAAGCACCCTAAACCCAGATGGCGAACTCAGTATAACGTGAGAAATAAAAATGCCCCTCAAGGACAGAAAACAACGAAGACTTCCATGGAACTGACCAAATCTGTGAAGACTTAAGGTTTGTGAGCCTGGAACATAGTAGGCCTGAGTGTAACAAGATAGCAAACAAATGATTTGTTTGCTGGTTTAAGCTTTGCTCTTTTTACTCTTCTTTCTCTTGCCCTGGACAGTAGAAACTACTCTCCAACACTCCCTGAGAATGCTGTTTATTGTCATATATGTGGCTCCAGTTACAAAGTCTTTGAAGGAAGAATTACAGATACATATATTTAGTGAGATATGTTAGAAGAAGAGTGGGGATGACCTTTCAGATTTGGCCCCTGAACTAGTAATGAGTAGATAATCATGTGTTTTTATCCCCAGAGGTGTAGGTATGAAGAGGTGAGCCAAAAGGGGTTATTGATGCAGCTACCCTGATAACTATGACAAATGTTACCCCCCAGTTTGGGTCTCTAGTTGCATTCCTCAAATAGTGACTGTTCTGAGCCAAAAGAGTGTTATCAGCAATGTGAAAAGGACATTGCCAAGTATCATGGACCTAAAATTAGACCTCCCACTTAGGCAGTGCTTTTGAGGAAGTTATACTCTCTCCTGTAAGACGCAGAGCACAACAGAAAGCAAGGCTCTTGCAGGCTTCAAAACCAAACTTAATTTGAAAAAGGAATGACTGCAAAGGACAGCGCACCTATAGTTCATGAACTGTATGTATATGAATATACTGAGTTTTACTAAAGTAGCCCTTTTTTTTAAGTAGATGAGGATGGTTAGGGGAGAAAAAAAGTCTAATTTTCATTCCAAAATCCAATAACTATGTAGCCTTGGAGAAAAGGTACTTTCTGGGAGCTGGTTTTAAGTCCCCGTAAATAATTTTTTTTTTTTTTTTGAAATTCCCCATGAATCACATATTGAAAAAAAATCTCACTAATGGTTTAACTGTTTAGTCTATAGGTGACTAGGCAGCCAGTTGGCACAGAAACAGAATAATCTGGTTTGGAAGGGACCTTTGAATGTCATTTGGTCTGATGCTCCTCTCAGAGTCAAGTCAGTGTCAATGGTAGAGCAATTTGCTCAGGGTTTTGCTACTTCCCCTTAAAGAAAAAGCAGATGCCTCACTTGCATAGCTTCTTACACCCTTCAAAATCAAGCTTAGGGGAAACCACAGTACAAATATCCTTTCCAGTGCAAAGCAGACTCTCTGATAGTTTGATATCCATCAAGATTTTGTATGGGAATAGAAGGAAAACATTAGATTCTTTTGTGGATGGGATCCCCAGAAACCCATACGTAATAGTATGCCTGAACTACAGGTCAGCTGAAGTCTTTCTGTTTTCCAGTGCCATGTAACCTCATTGATGTTCAAGGATATTTTATATGAGAGAACAGCCTGTCATTTCAGACCCCTTCATGCATGGGCAATGAATTGCCCTTACAGAACCTTTCTCCCAGCCCTTTGCTCAGGACTGAAGCTAGCACTAACTGTGTGTCTGGCCTGTCATTTCTAATTTCAGTTTCACACACACATGGAAGAGGAAACGATTCTGGGAACTTGTCAACATCCTCACCTTAAAGGAACACAAAAGGAAGAATTAATGAGAAGTAAATAAAAACTAAGCAGAGTATTTCTGAATCTCAGATCTAGTAAATACTCCATGGCTCAGTTTGCCTTTGAGTGTTGCTATACGGGGGAACAGGAGTCAATAGATATTCCCTATTTGGGAATCCCTACTTGGAAATGCTGAGGTATACACGTGCCCTTGCGTGCTTAAAATTGAAGTCAATACGCAGTACTGAATGGAAACCCATATGAGAAAGCAACACTGCATGAAAAATTCAGGCTTTTGAGGTCTAAATTGGTCTGCCTTTTTGTCCCATTGTCCAAAGCTAGGGCCATCAATATTTGCCAGAGTTACTGAATTGTCAGCTACAAGAGTAAAGCATGTACAGTTTGGAAAAGGAGCTTTTTCATGGGAAGTGTATACACTTCAGACGAGTAGATTTTAGAAAGTATTTTCCTCTGGATATCAAAATGCAACTTTCAGAGCTAAATAAAAACGTCCTTTCCTCAGGTTAGCTCTCCTACCCGTTTCCCAAACTCCTTTTCATATGTGCTTACTTGAGGAAGGGAGAAAAGAGTGATGAGGCTACTTAACGGATTTTGCAATCACATACACTAATCTCACTCTAAGCATGGGATAACTGCTGAAGATAGATGAGATTAGATGTGGTGGACAGATAAAACCGATTAGATAGACAAAATCGCCATTATGCTACAGATATCAAAGGCATGATTCTCCCCTAATATAGCATGCATACTGTATTTACCACACATTCTGTTTGCATGTCTCCTTCGTCTATTGCAGGGAAAAGAAAATGCTTTAACAATGTGCTTTTCTCCCATCATTTCAGAACACATGATGTTTGAGAGCAAAATAAAGACTGGTTAGAAAAACCCACTAATTCAGTACAAATGAAACATGCCACTATCTAGTGCCTGAACTCCCCTCTCTGCAGAGCTGAGAGTCAACATCTCTGGTTTCAGCTGGAAAGTAGCACAGAAATCAGCAGTAAAATTTTGTTGCAACATTCACAGCTTTTCTCCTACCTCCCTCTCAGCTTCTCTTGTTGTTTTCTTGGTCTGGTTCGAGACACTAGGCAAAAAGTTTTAGGAGAAGAAATAAAAGGAGCAGAAGAAAAATAGCAAGGGTAGCTGAGAAGAGAGGGTGGCATGGAAAATAAAAGGAAGTAGAGGTAGCACAGCAAAGAAAAGAAAGGAGGAAGGATGCCATAAAAATGTAGAGAAAAGGTTCAAGAACTTGAAAGTAAATTGACAGAAAGTTCAGGGAAGATGATCTTTGCTCTTCCACAAGTGCTGTTACTTGTGCAGATGGATGCTACTTAGGAAAGCAGTTGGAAACTAGGAAATGTGCCGCTGCTGCTTCTTATAAGTATTATGTCTGTAATCTGCAGCAATAAGATACAATGTTATGAAAGCAACAAAAGAAGGAAGAAGAAATGAGGTTAAAAAAAGGAAAAAATGGATAGCGTGAATTTCTTGAAGACATCTTAAAATATGACATTTTAAAAAAAATGCAACCTCCAAAGCTCAGTATTTTCTGTAGCTCTTTAGCAGTTTTAAAGTGGCCATTCTAGTTAAAAACAGTAGTGAAACCAAAACAGAAAAAAAGAGAGATTTTCTTGACTATGATTTTCTCTTTACATCAAGATGAAAAGTCAGATGTTCTTTTTTTTGTTTTATTTTTTATTGCTTTTGAGATAATTTGATGATGGTGTGAGAGACCATTTATTTCTAACTGTGACAGCTTCCCATAGACACCTATGAGATGTTGAGTTTATGTCCATACCATTAAAAAAAAAAAAAAAACAGGTATCCCTAATGGTTATCTCGCTCTGGCTCCATTTCAGGTTGTCCCAATGAATCTTTCAAGGTAACCCTGAGTAGGGTAGTTACAAGTGAGCCTGTGCCTGATCTTGACCAAGGAGCAGTTTTCGGTCCTTGTTGTTTATTTAAGAATATAGGTCTTGTATTTGGGAACAAGGTGCTATTGTAGGGTGGAACAAAGCTTATGGGCTTCTCCAGGACCTTGAAGGAGAGTTGAACCTGCCCATGGACTAAAGAGAGGGAATAAGATCCAGCTCAGAAAGGTGAAGGTGAGCATAGGTAGGATGCAAATACTCCTAAGGAGACTGTAATCTTAAGAGCTCACTGTCACTGAAGCTTGATCCGAGAGAAAGCAGGATTTTCTTTTTTTTTTTTTTTTCCTTTCTTCTTCTTCTATTTTTTTTCTTTTACTGGGAGTTATGGTTTTTAGTCTGTTCCTTTGTATATTGGAAAATAAAAGATTTTGAAATTTTATGCCTGAATTGTTGTAGCACTCATTGTCCTGGTGGCAAAAAGCATAGCCTCCAGATGAGTCTCGGAATCCAAACCATGTGATAGCTAAATACATGCAAGCATAAAGATAGAAAATATTCAAGCTGCACTGCAAATCTATAAAAATATGCCAATGAAATTGCCAGCCTGTTACAGAAATTAGCACTGGAAGACAGCAGCATTTCTGGCCTAATGCCCTCCTCTTTCTGCTACCTGTGAGGAAAACTATATAAACCTCTGTAAATCGAAAATAAGATTGTTCTGTAGTGAATTTCAGGTTCTGCTGAATTGTTATGGGTTGGCAGGAAATTGCTCCCGGGTAAGCAACACACAAAACCGCACGCATGCCTTGGCAGACACAGAAATACAGAACTGCCCCTTGCCACTCCAAGCTGGAGCCACGGAGCTCAAGAAAGACTTGCTGAGATAAAAGCTAAGAAAATAAGTAAGCATTAGCATCACAAAATAACAAATGAGAAGCAAGGAAAATCCATTAAAAAATGTGAAGTACCAGAAAGGTAAATGGCTTTATCAACCATGAATTCCTCTGCAAAACGAATGTGACAAAAATTCTTCTTGCTTTTCCGAATTGCTGTTATATCTCCACATTGCTCAAAGACTTCCTGAATAATTTCCTCTGTTGCATTTTCTGGTAATCCTCCCACAAACACAGTTTTACACCCAGGAGGTCTCTCTCTTGTTGAAGGTGGTGGAAGATCTAAGTAAAAAGAGAAATCACATTGGAATACAAAATTTGTCTTCTGATCCATTGGCTCTATTCATTCCCATAATCAGTTCTGGGCAACAACACTTATTTTACACAGCATGGAGGTGTGAGAAAGAGAGAAACAAAATAATTGTAGAGATCACCAAATACCTATTTGTAAGTGGATTTTTTTTTTTTTTTTTTTTTTTTTTTTTTTAAGATTTGTAGAGATTACCAAAACTGGCTAACTGAATCTTAGCTTCTTCAAGTTTCATTTGTGTTTTATAGTCTAATCTCTGCTCCTGTGGGTCATTTTCTAGGACTGACCAGAAGGCCTAAAAGGCCTAAGAAGGTTTTCCTTTCTTTTCTTTTCTTTTCTTTTCTTTTCTTTTCTTTTCTTTTCTTTTCTTTTCTTTTCTTTTCTTTTCTTTTCTTTTCTTTTCTTTTCTTTTCT